TAGTAGTAGTAGTAGTAGTAGTAGTAGTAATAGTAATAGTAGTAGTACTAGTAGTAGTAGTAGTAGTAGTAGTAATAGTAGTAGTAGTAGTAGTAGTAGTAGTTTTAGTAGTGTTGGTTGTGGTAGTTGTCGCAGTAGTAGTAGTCGTTGTAGTAGTAGCAGTAGTAGTGGTCGTACTAGTAGTAGTAGTAGTAGTCGTCGTCGTAGTTTTAGTAGTTGTTGCAGTTGTAGCAGTAGTAGTAGTTGTAGTAGTAGTAGTCGTCGTCGTCGTAGTAGTTGTTGCAGTAGTAGTAGTCGCAGTAGTAGTAATAGTAGTAGTAGTAGTAGTAGTAGTATTAGCAGCAGCAGTAGTAGTAGTAGTAGTCGTCGTCGTCGTAGTAGTTGTCGCAGTAGTAGTAGTCGTAGTAGTAGTGATCGTAGTAGCAGTCGTAGTAGTAGTAGTAGTAGTAGTAGTAGTAGTAGTGATAGTAGTAGTAGTAGTAGTAGTAGTAGTAGTAGTAGTAGTAGTAGTAGTAGTAGTAGTAGTAGTAGTAGTAGTAGTAGTAGTAGTAGTAGTAGTAGTAGTAGTAGTAGTAGTAGTAGTAGTAGTACTAGTAGTAGTAGTAGTAGTAGTAGTAGTAGTAGTAGTAGTAGTAGTAGTAGTAGTGGTAGTAGTGGTAGTAGTAGTTCAGCCCAAATCCCGTAAACATAGAATCCCAAGTTCCCGGGAGGGGCCATTAAAGGCCCGATTAAAGCCCGGGGCTCCCGGAAGGGGCCTGCCAAAGCCCGAAATGAGAGGAAATCACCGAAAGGTACACGAAAACACGGCTGGGGAGCAATTTAATTCAATAAAATCTGGGCCAAGAAAATTTAATTCAATATAGTCGAGGCCAACAAGATTGGGTTTTTCACTAAAGTTCACTTTCGGACTCGTTCGAGCACGTAGCCTTGTATTTTTTATTGCATCCACAATTATATTTACAAATTCTTTACCGTACAGATTTCGGCTACGAGATCCCGAAAAAATTTCTGAGTACACTGTATTGCAGGGCAACTATTGGTCATCTACCCTTCCGGAGGGCCCTGAGGCAGGGAAGCTGCCGAGAAGGAATGGGCAAATCGCTGGTGTTGTCTCGTGGCTGTTCTCCAATCGGGGCGCAGCTGCAAGTTCATCCACCATGCCCTTTGCCCTGAAACACAGAAGCTGTTGAGATTGGGTACGCAAATCGCTGGTGTTGTCTCGTGGCTGTTCTCCATTCGGGGCGCAGCTGCAAGTTCATCAACCATGCCCTTTGCCCTGAAACAAAGAAGCTGTTGAGATCGGGTACGCAAATCGCTGGTGTTGTCTCGTGGCTGTTCTCCAATCGGGGCGCAGCTGCAAGTCCATCTACCATGCCTTTTGCTAAAGTGTTGTCTCGTGGGTGTTGCCCAAACGGGCTGCAGTTGAGATTGATGACGCAAATCGCTGGTGTTGTCTCGTGGCTGTTCTCCAATCGGGGCGCAGCTGCAAGTTCATCTACCATGCCTTTTGCTGGGGGTGTTGTCTCATGCCTGTCGTCAAAGGGGATTGCAGCTGCAGGTGCCCTTACCTTAGCGATTTCTGACTCAAGCATCCTTTGCAATTGCATCCATTCCATCTTCATATTCCATCGTCAGAGCGATGACTGCAGCTTGGACGGCATGTGGGAAAACTTCATGGAAGCTTCATATCACCCTTCGCTCAAGCATACCATCACCAATCACCAAGGACCGTGCTCCACAGCCGATCAACGAGCTGAAGGATGCACCTTGGCCTGAACCCTTGACCCTTAACCCTTGAACTTAACCCTAAATGCTGTTACCAAGGACATGTTTCTGCGCCTGAGCGATGGTTCATCCAATAAGAGGGCGGCCGGAGCAGCTTGGCTTAACATGTAACCATGCATCAAACCCCAATCTCAACCATGCTATAACTAAGGCGCTCCAGCCTCCCCTCATTACCTACACTCCCAACGCAACTTGGCTTAACTAACTGCTTTTACAGTCAATAGCTAGTGTTTTTTCACCAGCAAAAAACAACTCAGGGCAACGGCGGTGTCCAAGGGGTGACCGCCACTTGGCCAGAACTTAGCTTCCCTCGTCCCTAACACTAAAAACCGTAAAACCCGAAATCTTATACCAAACTCTGCCCTTAAACTCAGGATTGGGATACATTAAATGCTACGGTGCCTTCAAAGAAGTCGAAGGGGTACATGGCATCTTGGCGGCATGGAGGAATAAACATGTGCATCTTAAACCCAATTCCAGGAATGCAAGCATATATCTAAGGTGATTAACAAAAAGGCGTATCCACTTCCGGATACAGTGGGAAGCCTTACCATGGCACCTTCACCTGCATACCAGGCACCACTGATTGAGCCTGAAAGGCCCGGGCCGATTGATTGGCGGAGAAACAGCCATGTGCTGCAGCAAAGCTGCGTGAGCCTGCGCCTTTCAGACATGGAAGCGCCGGAAAAACCTGAAATCCTTCCCCCTGAATTTTTCGGGGACGAACCGCCATACGGTTCAATGCGGGAAACAAACTACCAGTTGGCATTCCGACCATGTCATGGATGCCCAATTTGTCTCCGCAATTTGCGCTATAATAGGCCCTTGCGGAGTAAAACATGCCTCCGCCCAATTCGGCGCGACCAATGACTGCGCAACAGCGCAATGAAAACATCGACAACTGCAGGGGTTTGAACTTGAAGGTTGTGAATTCGAGGTTTCGGAATTCGGATTTTCGGCTTGAACATTGGGATCTGAGATCATACGTTGATGTTTTAGGATGTTGAGGTCGAGGTCTGTAATATGAAACTTCAAAGGAGAATCAGGATTCAGAAAATGTGCATGGAGAAATATTGATACAGGATTCAGAAATTGTGCATAGAAAGGTTTTGACACAAGGTTCAGGAGTTTCTGGGTTTCGGGCTGGGGATTTGAAGTTGTTGGATTTGGGCTTCGGGGTTTAGAGTCTGGGGTTCGGAGTTTCGGATTAAGGGGTTTCGAAACTGGGAATTTGAGGTTCAGGGTTCAAGTCATCTTTCCACTTTTCATTTAACAGGGTTTCCTACTGGCCTTTGGTGCCTTTTGGAATCTTATATTCGGAAATCAGAATTGGAAAACTGGGTGTGATGTAAACGATCCAGGGCTTCTGGTTTTCGGATATCGAGAAGAAGGTTTGGATCTTGGGGCTTAGGATTAGAAGTTGGAGTTTCAAACCTAATATCTTGAAGTGAGACATTTTGGAGATGAAATCAAAGGTTTCTAGTTCTCAGGTTGCGAACTGGGGATTTCAGAATTCCGACTTTCGGCTTGAACATTGGGATCTGAAATCATAGGTTGGTGTGTTAGGGTGTTGAGGTCGAGGTCTGCAATATGAAACTTCAAAGGAGAATCAGGATTCAGAAATTGTGCATGGAGAGGTCTTGATACAAGTTTCAGAAATTGTGCATGGAAAGGTTTTGACACAAGGTTCAGGAGTTTCCGGGTTTCGGGCTGGGGGTTTGAAGTTGTTGGATTTGGGCTTCGGGGTTTAGGGTCTGAGGTTTAGGGTTTCGGCTTAAAGGGTTTCGAGACTGGGAATTTGAGGTTCAGGGTTCAAGTCATCTTTCCACCTTTCATTTAACAGGGTTTCCTACTGGCCTTTGATGCCTTTTGGAATCTTAGATTCGGAAATCAGAATTAGGAAACTGGGTGTGGTGTAAAAGATCCAGGGCTTCTGGTTTTCGGACGTTGAGAGGGAGATTTGGAATTTAGAGCTTAGGATTAGAAATTGGGGTTTCAAACCTAATATCCTGAAGCGGGGATTTTAGTGATGGGGTCAAATGTTTCTAGTTCTCAGGCTGCGAACTGGGGGTTTCAGAATTCAGACTTTCGGCTTGGACATTGAGATCTGAAATCTTAGGTTGATGTCTTAGGACGTTGAGGTGGAGGCCTGTAATATGAAACTTCAAAGGAGAATCGGGATTCGGAAATTGTGCATGGAGAGATTTTGACACAAGGTTCGTGAGTTCCTGGGTTCTGGGCTGGGAGGTTGAAGTTGTTCGATTTGGGCTTTGGGGTCCAGGGTCTGAGGTTCGGGGTTTAGAATTAAGGAGTTTCGAGACTGAGGATTTGAGGTTCAGGGTTCAAGTCATCTGTCCACATTTCATTTAACAGGGTTTCCTACTCGCCGCTGGTGCCTTCCGGAATCTTAGATTCTTGAGGTTGCGAGCTCTGGGTTTCAGAATTCAAACTTTCGGTTGAGGATTAAGGGTTCAGGGTTAAGGGTTTAGTGTTAACGGTTAAGAGTTAAGGGTTTACGGTTTAGGTTTTAGGGTTTAGGGTTAAGGGTTTAGGGTTAAGGGTTTGGGCTTTAGGGTTTAGGGTTTAGGGTTAAGGGTTTAGGGTTTAGGGTCTAGGGTTAAGGGTTTAGGATTTAGGGTTTAGGGCTAAGGATTAAGGATTAAGGGTTTTGGGTTTAAGGCGTCTGGCCCGAGCACAGGTAGTGCCCTGCGTCTCCAATTGTGAGTTGCAGCGAAACTCTGTGTATAGCCGACCCCAGCTTCATAGCGCCGCTGCTTTGCCTCTGGTAGGCTCTTCAGTGATTCTTACCACTTTGGTTTCGCTGCTTCGGCCGACGCCTTAGTGGTTGCGACCTGGAGGTCGCATGTTCCACGGCCGGACCTACTGGCCGCTTATTCCCCTTGCTGCAACAGGGGTTTTTCTGATCCTTATCGGCAGCGGCGGTGGTGACGAGGCCATTCCGCAGGGCGCCAAGCCCGCCGTGGCACCGTCGGCTCCGTCGAGCCCGGTCGAAAGCGAGGAAACTTTTGAGGGCAGGCAGGGCTTCGCTGGCAGCGCGCCAGCTTCTGCAGGCCCATCACGGGAGCATGGCCCCCAAGGCAACGGCCAATGCGCAGGCATCGAGACCTCAGGGTGGAAAACAGAAAGGTCGTGGCGAGCAACCACAACCTCAGCAGAACCGCATAGAGTTTGCCTTACCCTCGAGTGTGGTGCAGGCGGTTCAATCACTGTCTACACGGGCCACGCAAGACTTATGGACGGCGGCACCGGTGCCTTTTCTGGCAGGGACGGCGGAGCAGAACCTCCAGCGGAGGACCAACCTTACCAACAAACTTGCCAAACGCCTGTCCGGCAACGAGCGTGCGAAGGTCGACATGGCCGTCGCTTTACAAGCTTGGTTCGGCTTTGTCAGCCAGCATATGCTTGGCCTTCTGGCGCAAGTCCGTGCAATCGGACAACGGTTGGACGACGACACGGCCGTGGCTGCCAGGGAAATGCGAGAGATCCTTTCCGAGCAGCCCTCGGAGACCACAGCGGCTCAGGTGAACAAGGCTCTAGCTGCGGTGGGACCAATCTGGTCAGAGCCTCAGGAACAGGAGGTACTGCAACTTGCTGCCCGCCTTCGCGCCTTTGGCACAGTTACAATGCAACCAATGGGCAACGTCGTGGCCAACCTCCGCTGGAGGGCTGCCACCAGGAGCGCCGCTTGTGGAGGATGGTGTTCCTTCCGGTCGCACAAGCACGACGGATGCTACACTCACCTTGGTTTCTCCTCAACACTGGGGCGACACTGGAGGAGTGCGGCTTGGAGCTCATCTGGATGTGGGCTCTGTGGCAAGCTTTGGTGCCACGGACGAAGATCTCCTGGGCCTCGACGGCTCAGGCGATCCAGCCATACCGATCCTCGCCACGGAGTTACCTGGCGTATCTACTATGGATGTTCGGGCCCCGGCGGCAATGCCGCCGCCTCTGATTCCAGCTGGTGTAGATGCGACAGCGTTACCTGTTTCTACAGGTGGCAGATGGAGGAAGCGAAGTGGTGGCCACACGGAGAGGCCGTCCAAAAGCCCACGTCGGGAGGTCGACACGGGCACGCCGTGGCCATCCTTGAAGACAGGTCGCACACCGGACAAAGCGCCCAGGTCTTCGCTTCTGGCCGCCGTGGAAGACGAAGCGGAGCTGATCCCGGCGGAGCGCGAGCCCCCACGCACTTGGGAGCAGGCATGGACTGCTCTTTTGCAGTTTGCAGTTTCCCAGGGAGGAGAACGTGTGGGCGAACTTGCTTCTTGCCCCGAACAAGATGCGATAGTCTGTCCTGTCCACAACGCCGAGAAAGAAAGCGAGGTCTTGACACACTGTGGAGCGGTGTGGCAATGCCTCCAACAGGTGTTGCAAAGCAGGGATTTAGGTGCACTTCCTGGTCTATACCAACAACTGCGAGATCTGCTGCCTCTTGTCCGTTCGTGTGCAGGTGTTGTCAGCCACCTGCCCCAAGGCCTTCTCGTCGCAGCGCATGTAACTGTAGGAGGGCTCCTCGACCCTTACAGTTACGCACCCGCTACTCTGCAGGAGTGGCTGCACCCTACCCTGCTGACCGAACGCGGAGGTCCCTTCAAAGGGTATATTGCTGTGGAACCTGCAGAGGATCCCCAAGTGCGTGCACTGTTGCAACAACCCTGCCCATTCTTGAGTGGCACAACTGCCCGGCAAGTCGAGCCCTAAAGAATAGGCCCCATGGTACCTTTGATTGGCCTCGTCCCTTTTGGGTAATAGGGTTCGCCCTTTTCTGCCTTCTTCCATGGAGTTTGGCCTTGTTGCTCCTGGAGGGATTTCTCGGCGGACGGCAATGGACGGGTCGGCCTGACAACTCCGACAAAGTCGGCATGCCTGCTCCTCACAGCACTCTTTGCTCTTCTGCTTGCGCTTGGCAGGAGCTTCACGGCCTTTTCCGGAGTGTTCTGGCCCTCCGATGGGGTCCCGTCTGGCGCCTTGGATCCGGTTTGTTGGGTACTTGGTTGTCCACGCCATGGGTTGGTACGGCCGTCAGTGTTGCAGCAAGATGGATTCTTTACGGCAGCAGGTCGCCATTTAAGATTTGCCCGAGCTCGCGCCAGCTACGGGTCTACTTACTCTTATGGCTTTGCTGCACCCCGACTCAATCGGTTCAGATTTGGCCGGTCAGTGCTGCGCGGGGCCAGCCAGTCTTTTCAACAGGGTCGGTTCCCGCTGTTGTGGACGCGTCAGCCCTTGCTCCAGTGCGTTTTCCGGGTGGTCCTTGTGTCGAACCGGTCCTGCAGCAGGTTCCAGCACCAATGCGTGACATCGGGGTCTTTGCCCCGTCTTTGGCGCACTGCCCTCAGGTCCTTCATGTTGATGACCGTACCCACGGGGCCCTTCTGTTCCGACAGGTATGCTCTGCACTAGGTCTGCAGACAGCGGAATGGAGTTGGCGCCGCCAGGTGGAAACACTGCCTTCACTCCCACCGGAGCAGTACGTTCTTACCGAGCTCACCCTCCCGTGGTTCCGGATCCGTGTTCCTGTTGACCTTCGTGCTGTCGGCGGCTCTGTCTCGCTCTTAGACACCTTCCGACACCAGCCAGGCGCAGCGATAATCCGGGACGCGGCTGTGCAGCAAGGCATACACGTTGATGTGAACAACTGCCTATGTCGGCTGGGAAATGCTTGGTTTGTTCCCCAGGCGTATGTGCTTTTGCTCCCGCAAGGAGACGCATTGCAAGTGTGGCCTACGGTGCGTCTTCCTCCATCTGTCCCACCCTCTCGTCATGGCTCTCTGTCCCCTAGATTGTCTCTAGAGGACGTGTTTTCCACGAGCCTTTCGCTGCCAGGACCCGCGGAGCTTGCATTTCATTCCGAAACTGGGGTCAATGCGGTGGTTCTATATGCCAACGGGCTGTTTTTTACATTCGCCCCGATGTTTGCGGACCATCTTTCCATTCGTTCAACTGTGATGGGAGCTTTCATGTCGGATGTCACGTGCGGGGGTGCTACTTTTAGCCATTTCGCTCGGGTCCTCCCTCCTTTGGAGCAGTTGCCTGCGGTGCAATTTGTTGCCTTACAATGTCCTGAGGGTTGTCTCCCGGGCCTTATCGATTTCCGACCACTTGGTGCGGGGCTTGCCGTGCTTCCTTACCAACCCGGGGTGAGCCCTGCAACACGCCTTGCAATGGCTGTGGCTACATCCGGAGAACCAGTACCGGATTGTAAGCTTGCTGAGCTTCTTGCCCGGGGCAGCTTAATGGTGCTCCACCGTGAACACTCGGTGGATCCTGATAAGCCTCTCGAAGCAAATGCACCAGCCCCTCTTGTGGTTTTACGTCGCCGGACCCTTCCAGGAGCTTCGCCGTGCTCGGCCAGCGGCGGTTCTTCGGCGAGTGGGCGCTCGGCCATTAATTTTGGGGTTCTCTTGGCAGTTACTACGAGGCATGGCGTTCGTTCGGCTGCCTTGTTGCTTCTCGGGTTGCGCGTCAGCTGGGGTACTTTTCTGATACCGGACTCCGATCCGCCCGCCGATGGGATTGCCCTCCATCGCAAGTCTGAGGATGCACAGGTTAGGATCCCATTAGACACGGAAGCCGGGGTTGGCGCGCACCACCGCCTCGCCCAGAGACTGAGCGCGTCCCGTGAATGGGCTTCTGCTGAGTGGAGCCGGAGTCAGAATTTAGCAACTGCCCCTGCCTCACACTACTACTTTCAGGTAGCATCGCCCGGCGATTCTGTTTGGTTCCTCTTCCCGGGTGACCGAGGAGCAGACGTCCTGAAGAGCGTGTTACTCAGAGCAGGGGGCCTGTTGGGACGGGGTTTCCCGATCTTGGTTCAACCTTCTGGATTTGACCGATGTGTCCGATTCATCTCCCCAGCGCGCAGTTTGCAGTATGTTACTGTGCTTGTTGACGCTGGCGGACCCTTGATCTGTCTGGATGTGGTCCGCTCCAACCCTGGGCCCTCCATTCTGCAGGCGCTGATACTGCTTTTCCCGGGAGGAAGCTTTCGTCTTGATGAAGGGGCGCCTCACCCATTGCGACATGGAGATGTTGTCGTGGCGCATAGTGATGATAAGATTAACCTGCCAGACGTTGGGGCTTCGTCTGTACCGATGCCCACGTTTTCAGCGACCAGTTGGCTTGTTCCGCACACTGAGGTGTTTATCACGTCTGCCGACCAAGGCCTGCTTCTGGTTGAAGTCCCTAAAGGATTCACTAAGTACCGTCTTGAGTCAGCTCTGCAGTCTTGGTACGGTGAGCATCGTTGTGGGACAAGTTGCCTCATTAGACTGCCTCTTTCTGCGCCTGCGGTCGACTTGTTCTGTCTTATTGAGCGCACGCACAGCACGCTCACAGTTCTGCTCACCGATGTTTTGGATTGCGGGGTCCTCCCGATTGTCCTCACTGTGTCTGCCCCAGTCTCTGAGGAGCTTCCTTTGTCAAGCATTCGGGGGTCGCCCTTTTGGAACGCGGTCTTAGACCAACAGCCAACCATTTTGCGGCACTTTGCGCTTTCGGCGGCACAAGTCAGCTCAGGTTTTCCCTTCGTTTTCTTTCAGCTTGGATTGGACTTCTGTCGCTTGTCTGATGCAGGATGGCGCCTCTCCCAACAGCAAGCCCCTAGGAAGCTAGCCCTTGCTGCACTACAGCCGGAAGCTTTCCAGGAGCCAGTTCTTCCGAGTTCCCGGGTTGAACAGGGAGTTCAAACTTTCCCTCTGCACTGGCCAGCTCATGCACGACCGGCACCAACGAAAGCACTGGTTAAACGTCGTCCAGCTAAGGGCTGCGTTGCAGTACCGGGACATTTCTCGTCAGGTCCCATGCGACTGCTTGAATGCCCTCACTTTGGGGTTAGTTGCAGAGTTCCTTGCAGCGAAGGCCATTTTCCTTGGGCCATCCGAATCGGAGAATGGGTGAGAGCTGCTTGCACGCTGTCGGTGGAATGGCCCGAGGTTATGTCCATTGGAGGGCTCACCACGTGGGACCTGCCAGGTGTTGAGATCCACGGGCAGTTGGCTGTTTGGAAATGGCCCGGTGAGGTGTCCTCTCTGGCTGGTGAGTGTGGGCACCTTTTCCAAGAAGGCCATGACGCCTTCGCCTGCGATGCCACGCGTGGCCTCCAGGCACGCATCAATGGGGTTCTGAACCAGCCGTCAGTTGCAGCATTTGCCAGTGTGGTCAGTCCTGCCGTCGGACGCAGCCTGACGACTCGATCATACCTAGGATGGTGGTTCCTCCTCTCTTTTCTTCTTCAGGGCCCGGTGCCGGTGTTGGGTGCGGCCTCAGATACTGACGATGAATGCCCGGAACCGCAGGTATTCCCTCGATATGACAGTTCCCCGCCAGTGGCCGTGGCATGGTGCTATGAGCTATCCTGCCAAACCACACACTTGGGTGTCATGCCTGCCTCCCTTTGGGGATATTGCCAGGCTAACGCACCGACTGACACGATTCGCTTCCACATTTGGACACCCTTTCAAGGGCCTGCCATTTTTGATTACCCCAAGGGCGGGCCGCTGTCCGGGTTTAATAGTTTGCTCTGGGAAGCAGGACACCGTCCGGACTCCTGTGGTCTGCATGTTGCGTTTGACACGCAACCTACTGTCCTGGATGTTGTCTCGTGCCCGATTGGGGATCCTACCTGGTGGATTGTCAGGGACGGCATGTCGAGGGAGCTTCTGCGCCCTGTTGCTCCATGGTATGAGCCGGATGGTAGACGTGTGCTTACCCTGAACTCACTTGGTCAAGCCCAAGGCCTCTCTTTTGGCCCAGAGGCAGGTGCGATGCAGCGGCTTCCTGCTGGGGTCCGAGCAGCTATCACTTACCCCTTTTCACGGGTCTTAGGGCACCTCTCGGCTGGAGGATTGGTTCTAACTGAAATTGCGATTGGCTCCTTTTCTAGGGCTATCTCCAGGCGTAGCTCCTTGCTGCTAGGGGTTCTGTTGGGATCGCTCCACGTCCATCCTGCAAGGGCAATGCAGCAGGATCTTATCTTGCGCACGTCTTCCGGCCAGCATCAGGGGCATCCCCCTGCGTGGGGACTTCCTCGCGATCCGGCGCCTACCATCTGTCGGATCTGGACCTATACCCTAGCAGCTCCCACGGTTGTTCCGTATGTTTCTACTCCCGACCCGGGTGTTATGGCCACTTATGTGGCCAATACTGCTAGGGGCGTTACTGCCACAGGTGATTTCGTCTGGACGAGCCCTCAGATTGTCCACGGGGTGGCACACCTTTTGCATGTGCCGTCCGGCTCGACCGCATCCTCGATATTTTGGCTTTTGCATTATCGAGGTCGAGCTGCTGTCATGAGCGTACCCAGAGCGGTTTTCGATTGGCAGCATGTTGGGCAAACAGCTGCTGAGGAGTTTGGCTTGCCGTTCTTCTCGCAGGGACAGTTCGGTATTTGGCATGGGGGCCGGGTTATTCCCTTCGGGTCTCAGTTGCCAGCACCAGGCCACGGGACCATTATTACCTTGGTGCGTAATCTTCCGGTTCCTGCTGCGGGTTTCTCTTCTTGGGATGCACCATCGGATGCTCCGGCTTCCTTTCATTTTGACTACGATCTGTGTCGTGGTGCAGGAGGGGAACTTCCTCTAGCCGGCGAGACCTGCCTCCAAGTGCTGCCTTCCGGTATGAGTCAGTCACCTCCAACACCTGCTGAGGCTGCTGGTCCGTCCCGCACGGCTCCTACGCGCTGGCCCACTAAGGAGCCCCACTCCGCCCCCCCTAGTGTCGTTCGGCAGGTCAATGAGATCAGTCATCAGCTCACGATGCTTACCTCACGACTTGAGGTTGCGGGCGTTCTCCCAGGGAGCGAGCCCGATGAGGTGGGTGCCGCACCATGGTTTCATGGTCCTGAGGAGTTAACCAATAAGGACAAGTCGAAGGCTAGAACTGTGCATCCCGTTGCGCAATGGGGCGTCTTTCTTCTTGGGAGGTTCCTAGGGCAGTCCGGTTTCGTTCTAGGGGTTCTCTCAGCCATCACTCTTGTTCGTGGCGACGGCGAGGACAGTGTCCCCTCGGAACCCTCCCAGCCTAGCTCACCAGACCTTGCAGAGGTTACGGCCCCTACGCCGGCAGCCGAACTTGTGGGGACAGGAGGTGAGGACACCCATCTACTCCGCCCGAGTGATGAGGACGCTGCGCGCACTGGCACACCGGTTGTTGGCCAATGGCCTGCTGTTGCGCCAACCTTCGATCATGCGTCCATTCCCACTTTGCAAGGACGGGTCATTGCTTTCATGTGTGAGGTCGACGACCGCAGCAACCGAAACCGACCTTTTCTGCCGGCGGGGTGTCCGCTGACTATCCATAATCCCTTTACAGTCTCTGACCAATGTAGCGTGGTTACCCCCCTTGTTGGATCAGGGCAGGAATTTAGGTTTCTGCTCCAAGATTTCTCGGGCCGCCGTGGCTGGCAGCAGATACTTCCTGTCCAACCGCAGCCCGATACAGAGGCGGTTCATCTGATTCCCGCAGCAGCCGATTCGGCCCTGGCTTCCGTTGTGCTTCGCACCCATCGAGGGCTTCACCCGGTTTGCCTTCCAGCTACGCTCCCGGTTGGTCCTACTCGGGCGTTGACCTTAGGTGGGCGTTTCGGCCGACTGCGCGAACCGTATCCTCTCCGACGCAATGTCGAACGGCCGGTGCATCTCCGAGATGGTGACTGCCTCCTTCTCGACTCAGGTCCGTTTGGCCCGCCGCCTCCGACACCAGTTGTCACTAGTGGAGCTGCTGTGTTGCCAATGTGGCTACTTGCGGGAGTGTCTTTCAGATACGTCCCTATGCGCCTTCTGGTTTTCCTTCCTGCGGTCCAGGCAATGCTTCAGTGGACGGACACTTTAAGGTCGGCACGTCGTGACACGGTCGAAGTGGGCTCCTTTGCGTGGCGAGACGCAAGGTTTGACAGGACATTTGAGGGGATTGTCAGTCAGCCGCGGCTGCGGTGCGTCCTTTTGTGTCCTCTGACAGGCATGCAAGGTCCGCATGAGATAGCTTCGCGCACTGTTTACCCTGCGTTGCTCGGCCACTATCAAGCTGTGCATGGCGACTGGATCCGGGATGTTGTCCCTGTCTGGCCGGGGCTCTTTCGTGATCGTCTAGTTCTGGTACCTGATATCGGGGCCGACCCCAGGTGTGTTTGTATCGTGGCGTGCCACTCGGACA